GAGACTCTGTTTGACATGGATGCCCCGCCTGAGGGTCGTTAATGAGCTGAGGGTGAAACTGTGTTTTCAGCGCTGCAAAAATGGGATTTTGATTTATGGTGACAGTGAATGAAACCTGCGAGGTCGTGCTTTTCCCCTGGAGCTGAGGATGGTTTTCCAGAACATACATTTAACTGCATTCACTCTCTTCTCTCACTCTCTTGATCTGATGGGGTCGTGGGTTTTAGGGTTTGAGGCTAGGGTTGTGCTGATCACCGGAGATGGCTTAGGATAGAGTTGTATGAACCATCTAGACCAGGGGTCTCGAACTCCAGGCCTCGAGGGCCGGTGTCCTGCAGGTTTTAGATCTCACCCTGGGTCAGCACACCTGAATCAAATGATTAGTTCATTACCAGGCCTCTGGAGAACTTCAAGACATGTTGAGGAGGTCATTTAGCCATTTAAATCAGCTGCAGGACACTGGCCCTCGAGGCCTGGAGTTCAAGATCCCTGATCTAGACTCTAGGGCCATGCTGAGTGAATATTGTCTTTATGTGGGCAAAAGATTCTTGGCTTTTCAGGAATTATTGCAAGGGGAGGATAAATTGGCATGTAATACAATCGCTAAGAGATCCAGAGGTGTTGATCAGGAATGGGCATGGTGGAGCCTTCCACGGAAAACTGTAATGTGGTTTAAGTCATTGATGAAGGCGCCTCGTTATGAAAGTCAGGTTGCAGAAGTTGATGTTTGTTTGATGTCTGTGGTAAAATCTCAAAGTGCAGGGAATATGTGGTCAAAGCAGACCTTTCCAGGGATGCACTGAAAACGCCAAAGCAGCCATTTGGTACGCTTTGAGAAGGAGACTGGCCAAACTGAGGTCAGGTAGTCTGCCATACAGAAGTTTTTGTAGGTGTTGTGTGCACCATTTTATAGACTTTTTTTGGCGTGTTTACATCAGTTTTCCACACTTATCCAACAGAATGAGTGTACGTTCCTGAATGAGATGAACAGTAATACAAAAAATGTAATATTTAGTGAGATAATAGCCGCCGCCTTTAATTTCTTCCTTCCCTCCCTGTTACTTAAAAACGTTCTCTTTCTCTCTGCTGCTTCCTCTGTGACATCATTCCCCATTATTTTTGCATCTGCCATCATTCACCGACGCTTGCTCGTCTGCTCCATCCATTCAGCAACATTAATAGAGAAACAGATATTTGAAGTCTCTCCTCTTTGACTGGGCCACCCATTTCCAGTTAAGAGCTCCAAAGGGTTCACTCTCTCTGACACACACCTTTCACAGCACTCTGTGTGAGCAATTACTCTTCATCCTCATCTACATTCATTTACATCCTTTCCAGCCTCACTGAGTCAGACTTTATTACTGTCACCGGTCTCTGCAAAGTGCTCCTCTTGATGGAGGGAGGCACAGACGGAGGCTGGTGACGGACGGCACAGAGGAGAGGAAGGACAGGTAGCGCTGTGAGTTGTTTAATAGAAAGGTGTAGCTTTTGTTGCAATATTTATTTCAATGTCTCACATTTGGTGGCATAACCAGACTGTATTTAAAAGATGGATGTAGCCACCTTGACTTCACCTCTTGGTTTCTGGACTGGTTTTTGATGCATTTCCAAGCCTCAAAGGTACAAAACAGGACAAAAGTCTCAAATCATTTCTTTATATACTGCTAAATGAGAAATGGATGGAAACAAGGCAAAAAAAAGAGTTTGTATAATTGTAACAAGTTTGAAAGTTAATATTTGGTCTGCTCGTATGTGTGGCAGCTTCTCTGGATTTCTATAAGTAGTCTTCAGGAATCGTTCTCCAGGCTTTTTGAAAGACATTCAAAGCTCTTCCTTGGATGTTTCTCCCTTTTTGTTGTCTGTCAGGATGATCCCACTCTGCTTCAGTAATGTTGAGGATCAGGCTCTGGGTGTTTTTCGGTCCAGGTTTGCTTTCACTGCATTGGCAGCGTGTTTGGGATCGTTGTCAGTCAGGTGCTTTCTTAGATGTATGAACTTTTTCTCCCCGTTTCCCTTCCTGAAAATGTCGTATTGACAGCCACCCTTGACTTAGGCCATTTCTGATGAAGCTTCAGTGAACAGTAGGTGGACAAACTGAAGGATCAGATCCATCTCTCAGGTTACAATATAAAGCACCTTGGGGAAACTGTTGATATGATTTGTGGCTGTATAAATAAACTGATTTGAATTCCTCCACTTGTCATGTTCAGCAGCTTTTTTTTTTCTTTTTTTTTTAACAATTTAAAGCCTGACTCATGAAAGAATTGCCATAAAATTCCATTTAAAAAAATGGAGCGTTTGCATATTATTTTTATTTCTATCATATTGGCTACATCTGCCAGTTTTTTTGCATTTGCTTAAAAATTTCAGGGAGGAGAATGACGATGCATGATGCATGCAGACGTCCCAAAAACGAAAAAATAATTAATTATCAAATATAATACACCAGTTAAGGACACACTGCACACTGTGCTTAGATATGCTGAGTTTGTGCTGAGCTCATGCTCTTGGAGAGTCCCTATTTTGGTGCAAACGTTCTGTTTAGTGCCTGTCAAACTGTTAGTTTTAATGTCTGTGCAGGTTCTCAGTCATCCAGGTCATCGTAGTCTAAGGAGCTTGGAAAGAAAAGCGTCTGGACTTCTTTGAGTTGCTTGAAGACGTTTCACCTCTAATCTGAGAAGCTTCAGTTCTAGGGTCAAATGGTGGAGAGTCCCAGATTTAAGCCCTGTGGGAGTGTCCCCCAAGAGGGACAATGGACCTCCCAATGATCTTCTACCTAATCACATGAGCCAAGGTGTGAAGACGGGTGTAGGTCCACCCCACCCTATCATGTGATTTCCTGAGGTCAGATGGCCCAGGATGTGAGTGGACGCTAAGGCGTCTGGGGAGGGAACTCAAAACTGGATTATAGATGGCAGACAGTTGGTGTCGTAAACCACCACCTCTGTTCAAAGATGGTCGCTCACAGTGGACATAGATGTTTCTTTCACTCCTCTTTCAAACCATCTGTCCTCTCTGTCCAAAATGTGAACATTGGCGTCTTCGAAAGAGTGATCTTTGTCCTTTAGATGCAGATGAACTGCTGAGTCTTGTCCTTGCTGGGTCGGAAGTATACTGTGATGTCGTACTTGGAGAAAACTCTCCTGAGTTTTTCCGATACACCGGCTACATCTATTCCTCCCGAGTTGGTGTCTGATCTTCTTTTCTGTGCCTCTTTGCTGACTTGATGGAAGCCCAATTAGGAAAGCTGCATGTCAAATATTCATTGATGATGTTAGTTTTGATATTTATTGTTCTTTCAGCTAAAGAAATGGGAACAGATTACGTGTTTTTGCAAAAGTGCCTCACGTTGTCTGTTATGTGTAGACACAACACTGGTTCACCTGTTGAGCTACATGTGTTTTTATGCTTAAATAGCTCAAAGAAGCATTCCTCTGATGGATCGGACTGAAGGTGAATGTAAAAGCAGCCAATGTCCAGAGAAAGACTGTGAAAACCCCCAGTAAGCCTGGAGAGCTATGAATCAAGGCTACTTTAAAAATGACGGGAATGTCTGGCTCCTTGGAAACAGAATATAAAGAGACGAAGGCTCGACACAGCGCTACAGCTGCTGTTGTGATTGCTTTTGGTGGAGTGCTGCTCGAATACGTAGTTTCACTCACCAAAAAATAAGCACAAACCTCACTGACAGTCTTTATCAGATAATTTCATTAATATTTCTGCAGGAGGTTACAAACTGAAATTATCAGTGCTGCTGTTGGTGTGCAGTTATGCCTGAGTTTGCAGCTTCATTAGCTGCTTCTTCTAACTCTTCTTTTACTCAACACAGTTCAAAGAGCCCTTCGTACTTCCAGGTTATGCCCTCTTGAGACAGACGCGGCAGGAAAAACGAAGGAAATCTGAATGAAACTCGAGCTTTCTCAGCAGCTCAGTCCACCGTGGCGACAACACTAAAAAGCAGTCGGGAGCGGTGTCAGAGAGAGAGCACCCGCAATTTGTCAATTACTCCGTTTATCTCCACAGCTGCTCGACGAGGCCGCTCAAGGCGACGGGGATAATCAAACACCTTGG